TTAAACTTCCGCACAGCCAAGGCTTGCTCTTCCCCTTGGCTTTGCCGCCACTTGCATCTCCTCCACCATTCGTCACCTCATCTTCTGTTCTTGCTTTCCAAAGCCTTTGGCATATGGCCCTGTGTTCTCCCCCCGGAGCCCTTTCCTTGGCCTCTTTCATCTGCGCTCTCTTGCTTTCCACCTTCTTTTGACTTCGACTTTCCTTCACCTTTCACTCCTTTTCGCGGTCTGGACTTGCTTGGTTGTCAATCTCACTCCATCTCTTTCTGTTCGACCATTGGGTCCTCTATACCCAACTCTGTCTGGAACGCCGTATGGACCATAGTTCGCGCTCATCCATCTGGCTATCTTGACTCCTCTAGTGGCGCGTTCTGGTCTTCATGGCCTTCTCTGACGTGGTGAACGTACTGCCTCATAGTCACACGTAGTTGATCACTCTTGTCCTTCCTTTTGGTCCTCCACATTGCACGTCTTTAAAGCAATCGACGAAGGTATCAATGGCATCATCCACTGACTCATCGTCTCGATCGTCTTTCTTCATCTGTCTGAACGTTCGAAGCTTTTCCATCAAGCAGACCTCAATGCCAATTCCTTCTCGAACCATCTTGAACCTGTACTCTTCATACTCATAGTCTGCCGGCGCCTCTGATGGAACATAGGTTTCATTCGACTCCTCATCGCCAGCTTCTTCGTCCTGTTGTCTTCCAAGAAAGGGCGCAACCGTTTGGAAACCTCTGTTGTCAAGATTTGGTCCTTCGTCCGGTGTTTGCACCGGTTGTGGATCTCCTGATCCTCGAGCTGGTTCTCTCCCCAACTCTTCTTCGTCTTCTTCTACCTCCTCTTCTTCTCCTTCTAGCCTCACCATTCTTACGCGCGCATGCAACTGACCGAGGAAGCAAAAGTGAGGACGGTGAGCGAGGCGTACGACCTCACCTATTGTGATGAGGACACCGATTGGGTGATCTTCAAAGAAGAAGATGAAGCCAGGCTCGAACACTACGTGGACTTGGTGTGAGATGGTTGAGGGCAGGGCGTCAGACCGATGCTTCGTGAGAGGCGCTGCGCAAGCAAAGGATTGCAGAGTTGGCCTTGATACAGGCGCCGATGTTTCAGTTTTGCCAGTGGCCTTTGCAGACATTGGGATTCCATTGTCGAGGCCTGAGCTGAGCAAGAGGTCAATAGGAGAAGGTGAGAAGGAAGAGAAGAAGGTTGGGGGAGATGGTTGGTTTGGGGAAAGCCTTGAGGATGGAGTTTATGGAGATGAAGACGATGAAGAAGAAGTGGGAGAACAGCGTGAGGCTGATGAAGGCGAACCATTCCGTCGAGAACCTGGACCCGTTGAAGAGGAGATTGAGGAGATTGAGATTGAGGGAGGGAGTTACAAGAAGACTTCACCACTCCGGGAGCTACGGGCAGGTTTGAAGAAGCGTGGTCTTGGCAGAGGAAAGAACAAAGAAGGCTTGGTCAAGTTGGTACATCGCTACACCCACTTTGCAGAGAACTTGAGTACGGAACTTCGCAGCAAAGCAGATGAAGGCGAGGACGCAAGAGGACAAGTGGCACCTCGAGTTCCAAGCAAAGCTGAGAGGCAGGCGCATGAGTTGACGCACTGGCCGTATCAAGACTGGTGGGAGCACCGCGTTGCAACGAGGGGTAAAGAGGGCCCCCAGATCAAAGAGCAGAACCTGGTGAGGCAAGAAGGAAAAGCAGACATGCCCGCCATCTTGATGGATTTTTGCTTCACCAAAGGATAAGACGGCGTTGGCGAGGAGACAAAAGAAGACCTGAGGATGTATCAGGGCGAGGTGTAGCTCTTGTGGTCACAGATGATTGGTCACGGGCAGATCTCGTCGTTCCTACACCATTGAAGTCACAAGCTGAGCAGGTGTTGAGATTCATTGGCAGCCTGGGCTACTCTCGAGTGATCTTGAAGGGTGATGGAGAACCTTTGATGAGGATGTTGCTCGATCATCCAACAAGCCAGGCTGAAGCTTGGATTCCACACCACGGTGGAGCTCAGCGGCCCTCATGATTCACAAAGGAATGGCAGAGCGGCAGAGTTGAACGTGAGATTCAGACAGTTCGAGGTTTGGCAAAGACTTTGATCAGAGCTGTGAGAGAAGGGTGTCAAGTGAACACCAGGCCATCATCAAGCATTTTCGTGCGGGCGCTTCGCAATCCAGGTTGTTGACTCACTACAGGAGGAAAGGTGGTGGCCCGACAGCGCATGAGATGAGGAGCGGAAGAAAATACGGAAGAAAAGTTGCAATGTTTGGTGAACGTGCGTTGGCCAAGGTAAGAGGAGCAAATGGAGATGATAAGTTCGAGGTTGGTTGCTGGCTTGGTAAGACAGATCGAGCAGACTTCCACATGGTGGCAACAGCAAAGGGATTGAAGTGGACACGCACCATTTGAAGATTGCCGACCGCATTTGAGGCAGAGGCTCTACACTTTGTGAAGGGGAATGGGCAATTGGATTTGGTCAGATTGGTGAAAATGGCTCCAGCTTTGATGGCTAAGTTCCCTTCTGCGCCATTGCCGCCAGCTATGGCTTCAGAGATCAGAGCAGAAGAGCGTGAAGAGGCCAGGACGTAACTCGCTGTATGTTGTACTGTCATCCATTGTCAACTGGATGCGCTGCCTCAGGTGTTGTGGCATGACTCTCAGCAAGACAGAAATCCGGGCGTTCTGGGCAATCTCTTCGCCTGCAATGGCACGATAACTCCTCACCCAGCCGTTCCAGTCCCAACAATTGTCTCTGCTGAACACGGGATGTGACAGATAGGCTTGCAGCATTGCTTGGCATGAGTTGCTTCCACCGTTGCCTCCACGCTTCTAAGACGTTCCTCCCCTCAACCGATCTCAGAATCTTCAAAGGTCGACGTCGAAGGAGCACAAAGTCCATTGGGCCTGTGGCCTTCTCAGCTTCGTCCAGGTCCTTCTCATACTTGCTGTCAGCAAAAGTCAGCCATGACCGAAAGGTCAATCGCCAGTCCTGCCATTGCGAAATCTCTTCCTCCTGGTTCGTTGGCGAGAACACCTCAGGCTGCTTCAGCACCTCACTTGCACTACCGAAGCCTGGCCTTTCCCTTTCTCTTTCTCCTCTCTCAGCAGTCCTACTGCCTCCACCGCTGCAGCTGCTGATTGGCTTGAGCTCACGACCAAAGCTTGCAAAGTTTCAGGATCATTCTTTCCCTCCTTTTCTCTCTTTCACTTTTCTTCTTCTTTTCTCATCTCCTTCTTTTCACCTCTTCAGGCCTTCAAAGGCCTTCCACCAAAGGCCCTTGACCTCGTCTTCCCCGGGGTATCTTTATCGGGCCGTTTATCGGGCCCCCCGGGCGGCTCCGCTACCATGAAGGATCTCAAACGATCGATGCGCATCTTTTTCCGCTAATGAAAACTGAGCCTGTATGCGTTGCGTGTGAACCGAAGTGCAGTGCATGCCGACATGGAAGCCGTCTGACATATGTGTGTTTCTTTTTAATTCCTACAACTTGATTATCATCATAGTTTACCGTATTTGCTTAATCGTTGCGACATAGAATAACTGTAGCAAATCCGCCGGCTTTAGCCGGCGTGTTCTGTGGATGTTCCTGTTGCTGTTGCTGTTGTGTTGTAAGTCTTTCCCCTACGCGCGGATTTTTGCTCACCCCCCCCCTCCCCCCTCCCCCCGCCTTCCTCTCTACTATGCCAAGACAGCACACACATCATCCTCTACGGCACCCCGCATTCACCCTGCATCCTCGAAGCGTACGCCCCAAAGATAGATCAAGGCTGCAGCACGGAACACCCTCCTCCTGCCATGCCTCCAACCTGTCCGCTAAGATGCCAAACTCTTCCATAGATAAACAACTACCCTGTGTTCCACTGCAGGCATTTTCTACCCCTTCTTTCCAAACCCGTGCTCAAATTGCTACAAACATGTGTCTTTCGTCTGCGTGTCTGCTTTTGTTTACCTTATGGCCTTGGGAAAGCCGGCGGAACACGCCAGCGGCGGTTAAATTAACCCAACACTCTTCTGTCATCAATGACGCTTTCTAATGAAGTCGTGTGAAGTCACAAACGAAACAATTGCCCGGAGCCCTTGGAGCTCACAAGTCAACCCTTCGTGGCCATCCGTACGTCTTCTCTTTGATCAAAATGGGATGCATCTCGTCCGGGCCTTCGTCCCTGCTCTTCAACCACGAGGAAGATAAAGGAGAGTACGCTGGTCCTCGTTTCGTCCCAAACTGTCGGCCCAAAGCGTCGCTCGTGTCGCTGTCCGGTCCTGAATCCGGTCCGGGGCTGAGGCGGTCCGAGCGCGTTGACGTCGGTGACCTGCCAGATCGACCAGGTGCGGCCGCTCGTGCCTTGAAGAAGGGACGGCCTTGAAGTGGATGTGATCCGCTCGTGCCCGGCCCGGCGCTCAACCTCGGCCCAAAGGGCTGAAAGACAGAAGAATGACATGACTTCGACGGAAACCCACATGAATGACATGGACCTGGATCGTAAACAGTGAGAATGAGCTCTTCGAGATGTTTGGAACTTCCTGGCAGGGCTGACTTGACCAATTGGAGAATAGACCTATTGGAGATGTCCTCTAACTATGCCCTATGCCTTGTCAAGTGTCCCAAACTGTCTTAATGCATTCCAGGCAACCACTCCGTGCTCTTCTAAAGCAGCTCGAGCGCTGGTGGCAGTTTCCCCACTGGCCGTTTCAGTGTTGCGAACTACCTCAGTAACTCATTCATGTGCCTTTTAAAGCCATATGGGCATCTGCAAACAATTGATCAAGTCGATGTTGTGTCGAAGGAGCCCTTCCAAACTCTTTTTCTGAGTCTCCTTCAAGTCTTGTTTTGCAATGGTCGATCCAGTGGTCCCAGGTCGCTTCTGCAAGCCTAAAGTAAAACATAGTTTAAAAAAAAGTTTGCAGTTTCGCAGCCTCGAAAGCAATTCCGGAGATCGTCTCGGCAGCTGCATCTGAAGCTGCCTGCATCGAAAACATCCATTTCAATATCATTTCATGCTTTGGATGCACTGGCAAAGCAAACTCCACAACTCTCGGGTCTCTCGTGTCCGCAGACTCGTCCGCAGACTCCACCGCATCTGCGCCTTGACCGACTCGGAGTCGGAACTGCCAGGTGTGGAGATCTGGCTCGATGGATGTGGCCTGGAGCAAAACATGTGGCAGTTCCAAGCATGTGACCACTGTTTCCTTTTGCAAAAGTGGACGAGTCGGCCCAGTTCAGCCTTCTCGCTTTGGCCAGGAGCCCGCAAGCTCGACAAAGGGGAACGCTCCCCAACTTGATCTTTGAGGCTGCCTGCAAAGTACCGTCTGTGATCCGGCCACTTGTTGGTCTTAGGCGACCTACTGGCGATGGCCTCCAACCTACTAGCGATGGCCTCCAACCTATGGGGAAGACAAATCTTTTATATAAATAAGTTCAGAGTCATGATGCGCTTGACAAGACTGATCTCGCACCTTTCGCAAGTCCTCTTCTCGAGCACCTGCCAGGGTGCGCTTCAACTCTTCATAGAGTTGCTCCTGCACCACAGCATGAAATCGCAAAAACCTCCAAAAAGGAATCAAACCTTGGCACCATCCATTGCACCATATACATCATGCATGATCATCTATGTTTTTTGCTGGCATCAAGTCCTCCACGACAGCTCCACCTTCCCTTGTGAGGAGGTCCATGGATGCAGCCTCGAAAATGTATCTACCACATCCCACATCCATTCGGCTCATCAGAATGTCCAGAATCTCTCAAAAGGTCTTCTGTCCGTTCCCCGGGCACCGGACAGATTCGAAAATCTCACAGGAGCGACACCATCGCTTCAGGCGTTGCTCCATGTTCTCCCGCGCTGCCACGCCGCTTCCCGTCGACGAGGGCCGCGACAGCGCGCAGCCAAAGGCGGAGCCCGGCGGTGTCTCCCGGCGACCCCCGGAGACCAACGTGGCCAACGCAGAGGCTACAGCGGTGCGTGCCGTGTCACCAGGGACATACAAGAGACCTCCAACCGAAAGGCGCAACTTCGCGGCTTGGACTGAACGGATCTTGTGAAAGCTGAACATGTTTCGACTTATCCTCCAAGTTGGCACCCTTCTGTGCCTGTTTCCTTTTGAATCTTTGACATGTTCTGTTTGTCTGGGTCTGGGCCTGCTTGCCAGAGATCTCCTAGCAAGGGGATTGCCTCCATGGCCTCATCCATGGACCAACCCTTCCTCAGCATGCTGGTGCAGCGCCCTGATACCGCAGCCACTAAGGCAGCAAAGGCCAGGCGATGCGAAGAGAGGCGTCCGGAGATCTGGAGCGCCACCCGGTGAAGGTTCTCCTTGGCTCATCATCTTTGATTCTTTTAGCCCACTAGTTCGCTACTAGGCTAAGTTAGCTTCCAGGTAGGACGCAGGTTTGCTCACGCCAATGATTTGATTCTTAGATGTTTAGAGAAACTTGACCCAGACTCATGCGAAGCAGAAGTCTACAAGCTCTCGCACTCAACAATTGGACGGTCCCAGTCTGTTCTACTTTGGCATGAGTCTTGTATCCTAAGTCACAGCCAAACCTTTCAGGTTAATAACCTCGGTCGCTCCCTGACTTGGAGCCCAAGAACAGCCAAACTGATTTAGAGAAAACTAGACTAAGTGAAAATGAAAACAAACCTTGAATAATAGTAATAAGAAGAAGAAAACATCCAGCGGATCCTAATTCGAAGTCTTCGAGTTAATGCGAACAGGTGGTGCGGTGTTATTGATGCCAAGATGCAAAGAGTACCATTCAAATAAAAACCCCCTCCTTCGACTCTATCAGCGTCTATGTCGGAGCTTCTTGAAAATGAACCATGCTCCTACTGGGCAGCGACATTCTGCTCGATATCCTGCCATCCTTCTTTCTGTCGACTCGGCCTTTGTTTTAGACTAGACTGTGGCCCTTCCTGCGTTCCAGGCGCCCCTTTCAACCCAATCAGTTACTGCACAAGAATTGGAGGTACAATGACATCCCTGAGCCTTGGAGGCCAAGTTGTCACCAATCTGAAGAGAATTGGTTATCGCCAATAATGAAAAAAGGCTTCCTTCATTGATTTCCTTCGCATCCTTTGGGTGCTTCTCGGCATCCCTTGGGTATCTCGGATTGTCGTGCAAACGTTTTATATATATATATACAGTATATAAGTGTGTGTATATATATATACATTGTGAATTCTCACATGTGAACCTTCAGGCATGTCCGGACCTCAGCCGTCGCACTTCTTTCCGAAGCCTTTTCGGGCACGAGTCCGTTGGGTGGTGAGGGTCAAGGGCCTTCGAAAGGCTTTCGAGCCATAGCGTGAGGACACGCTTGGTTGCTCGGCGAGGACGCCGATTCGTTCAGGCAGTGGCGGAGGAAAAGGCCGCCTTTGTGGTGCTGTGGGCACCAGCTGAGGGTCGAAGGGCTACCAGTGTGGGCAATCCACATTGGTAGCGGAGCTCCGCTCCAAAAGCTCCTGATCGTTGGCCGTGAGCAAGCGTGCGTTGGAACTTGAAGGCGTCGTACATTGTGATTGGCAACAGCAGTGCATTGTTGACACAGGGCTACAATACATTGTTTTGCTTGGTTGAGTTGAGTTGAGTTTGAGCATTGGTTGATCGTTGGGGAACGTTAGCAACATTGCTCTACATCGCTCAATTTTGTTCTGGCCAACGCCTTGGTGAAGAAAGGTGAGCGGTTCCAGGGAGGCAAACATGCCAGAGAGGCATCGCAGACTCTGTCAGAGGAGATCTCACTGGCAGCATTTCGAGAGTTGACGCTGGAACAACAAGGGCCCTACCTGATCACATTCGGCAAGGCTCACCGGGGCCAAAGCTATGCCGACATCTGGGAGAAGGAGCCGGGGTATGTGAAGTGGTTTCAAGCCACGTATCATGCCTCAAAGAAGCCAGAACACCAGCGCTTCCTCCACTATGTGACCCGACAAGTGGAGCACTTCGAAGAGACTGCACCGAGTCATCAGGTGACATCCACGCCGGCTCCAAAGAGCAAGGCATATCCAAAGCCGAAGCCTGCAACAGCACAGATGCCAGTGACAGCTCAGGACCTTGTCGACATCAGTGCCGAAGAGAGCTGGGAAGTGATCCAACAAGAAGGACAACACTGTGTTCGGCGCAACCACATGGGAAACCTCATCAAGATCTCACCAGAGCACATTCGTGAGATTAGTGAACAAGAGAAAGAACAAATCCCTCAGAATCTCCATCCGATCCAAGACCTTGAATCAGAACAACCAACGAAAAGTAATAAGAGACTTTATAGTAGAGACTATAGAAGTGCCTGAAGTCCCCAGCACCTCCCAAGCATCAGGACAGGCTCAGGAAAGCAATGTTCGACCCCCATCATCCAGAGAAGAAGAACAACCAGATCAAGAGCCAAGTGAGGGACCGGTCTCAGGGCAACCTGATGATGCCTCCGAACAAGCTGCCGAGATAGATCCGGCAAACGTGCCAGTTCCGACAGACTCAGGTGACGAACTTGTGTGACCACCTGTTGTGCGTTGAAGATCAAACCGAGGGTTTGCCAGATCCTGACGATCACATCGGTTGGAAGTACGAAGCCACGGTAACCGAGCAGGACATCAAAGCATGGAAAACATCGGAACATCCTTCGGAATACGTTTTCGTAGCAACAAGCGCCAAACGTGATCGAACTGAGGTAAAACTTCATCAACTTTCTCAGGAAGAACAAGAGCTTTTTAGGAAAGCGAAAAACAAGGAAATACAGAATTGGCTCGATACAGGCACAGTGAGCCGCATCTTCAGGCCATCAGCTGAGTCCGAAGCAAATCTTGCGACGCCGATGGATTTGCATATGGAAACCATTAGATGAAGAAAACGCGCAATCAACAGAAGTGAGTCAAAAACCCAACCAAACTACGCACAAACCGAAGGCTCGTCTCGTAGTTCTTGGTTATCAAGATCCCCAAAAGAAACGGTCCCGAGAGACAGTCCCACATTGGGAAAACAATCCAAGATGCTTCTACTCCAATTGATTAGTTCCATGGGATGGACGCTGAGAAGCTTCGACATCCGAGCCGCATTCTTGCAAGGCAAAACCCAAGACGGTCGAGTCCTAGCCATCGAACCTGTTCCAGTTTGTCAAAACCGCAATGAACCTGAAAGAAAATCAAGTGTGCAAACTCGAAAAATCCGGGTTGATAGATGCCCCGTTTTTGCGGTATAAGGAGTTGGACCGGACCTTAAGGGAACTGAACTTTGTCCCAGCACCTTTCGACCCATGTGCATACATCCTGTACCAAGAAGGACAGCGAATTCCATCAAGGATTTTGGGTGTCCATGTCGATGATGGGCTGTGTGGCGGCGACCAGTTCTGTGACCAGCAGATTGCCAAGCTAGAAGCCAAGTTTCCATTCGGGAGCAAGAAGTCAGGACAGTTCACTTTTGGTGGAGTAGATATCGACCAAAAACCAGACAAAAGCATCGTCATGTCTCAAGGGAAATACATCAGCAAAATTGAACCGATCCATATGAATTCAAACAGGCGAACATGTCTGTCGGAGCCAGTGACTTCCGAAGAGAAACACAGTCTTCGAGCATTGATAGGAAGCCTTCCATATGCAGCGATAAACACGAGACCTGATTTGTCAAGTAGGCTAAGCTACCTACAAAGTGAGATAAACAAAGCAACAGTGCAGACTCTACATGACGCCAATCGGGTCCTTCATGAAGCAAAACGATACAAAGACACCCATAATCGAATCCAGCCAATCCCCATCAAAGACCTAAGGTTTTTGCTGTTCTCGGATGCATCCTTTGCATCAGCCAAGAGCCCGGAAAGCCATACAGTTATGATAATCTTGGCGACCCACAAAGACATCATGGAAAACTATCAGTGCCCAGTCAGCCCCCTGTCATGAAGATGCAAAAAGATCCAGAAAGTAGTGACCAGCACTCTGTCAGCAGAAACAACGTCATTGCAAACTAGCCTAGACCAATTATCATGGTTGAGACTCTATTGGACCTGGCTCCTAGATCCCAAGACAAACTGGCGACAACCCCAAAAAGTGTTTCAAAAAATCCCACCACCAGTGTCATCATCCACGCATTTAGCACAGATGCTCCCAAACGCAGTAGCAGTAACAGACTGCAAATCTCTCTATGACCTGGTGACTCGAACCGCCCAACCGAACTGTCAGGAATTTAGGACTCAACTTCAGGCCAGGGCGATTAAGGATCTACTCTCAGAAGGAGTGACCTTAAGATGGGTACACACGGGGGCCCAGCTTGCCGTTGCACTGACCAAGGTAATGCAAAGCCATTTCTTGAGATACACGTTGCAACAGGGTCGCTACCAACTTAATGACGAGCTGCAGGTGTTGAAGCAACGAGCAGACCATCGAACTAGAATGCAGTGGTTGACATCCGGATGCCCATCTGACACCAAGCCAACAAGTTTTGAAGATTTTTTGGGAGTGTGAATTTTCACATGTGAACCTTCAGGCATGTCCGGACCTCGGCCGTCGCACTTCTTTCCGAAGCCTTTTCGGGCACGAGTCCGTTGGGTGGTGAGGGTCAAGGGCCTTCGAAAGGCTTTCGAGCCATAGCGTGAGGACACGCTTGGTTGCTCGGCGAGGACGCCGATTCGTTCAGGCAGTGGCGGAGGAAAAGGCCGCCTTTGTGGTGCTGTGGGCACCAGCTGAGGGTCGAAGGGCTACCAGTGTGGGCAATCCACACATAAATAAGTATAGGTTGTCTTTGTCAGTCAAGTTGTTGTGAACTAGTATACTAGTAGTGGCTTTCCGTCGGGCAGGTTGCTGGGCAAACTGGTCAGAGGCCCTTGCCTACAGTTTCTCATTGGCCTCCGCCTTGGTGTGGGCTCTTCCTTCAATTCACTTCCATGCGCTTGTTTGCATAATCACATTTCCGTCAGAATCACAGGGCAGCATACATCGAATGACATCCGAATGAGACCGGAATGACCCACCTTATGCTACAATGTGTTCGGTGTTTTTTGTTTTCTGTGAAACACGTTTAGGCTCAAGTGCACACTGTCCCTGTTGCAGTCCAAGCATCCAACGTGGAGCACTCCTCCAGCGGAGCCTTGGCAACACTGAACGAATCAACTCAATCAAGGCTGTGCCCGGTACCTCGTCCAATCTGCTGTGGTCATTCGCTGTGGGGAGTGGCAGAAGCCCGAGACTGTCTGCCCTTGTAGAGCCAAGCAGCAGCGAAGGTTGACGAGAGCTGGCCCACCAGCCCCGCATGCGGGGCACCACTCCGCCTGAACACAGCTGACACAGGACCTGCTTGTTTGGAGGTCTAAGGTCTAGTCTACACCTACTCATACCTACACCATGTTCGAGTTCCCCATCTCCGCACCTCTTCGCTTTTGCTGGGGTGGATGATCTGCTTGATCCACCGACCTGGCAAGCAAAATCAACTTGGTCCAAACGAAACAAGGACAAGGTGGAATACATGTGTCTCAACCAGTGCCTGCAACGCAGGTGCTGAACCAGAGATACACAGCTGCCTGACCAACAAACGAACCCTCCACCAACTTCGCACAAATAAAAATTGTCCAATTTCTTTCGTCAGCGAAGAAGAACCAGGCCTGCAATTTAGACCAAGATCGTCGCCGCGAAAGCGTGCCCTACGGTGCATCCAACAGGATTCCAATGTTGGAGGCTGCCTCGAACCTTGAAAAAGGGTAAAGTCTGCCTGTCTTTCACCTCACTCAACCGGAACAAGTCTTGAGGGCCCCACAAAGCTCTTCTTCGATGGAAGGGCCTCGCCACTTGGTGGCGGCCACCGTCACAGAGCCTGAGGCTGGGAAGAAGGAAAGCTCACTGCTCACTATCCATCAAACAATGCGAAGGCGCGTTGGGGGCATTGGCATCACACAAAGCTGAGGAGAGCACATCAGTCAAAACCATATCCTTATGATTCTATATGCACAATGTCAAGAGCCAGAAAGGCGCCAAAAGAAAGTCTGGTCAGGCAAGTCTTGCTGAGGTGGAGGTGCTCAGCACAATCATTGGAACACCCTTTTGCCAAAGAGGATGCCCAGTGAGCACATCAAGATTAAGCCTTTTTCTGCAGGTGAAGCAGGGTGCTGAGAGGAAGCCTCATTGCAATTCATGACCTGGTCCAGCAATTCCATCATGGTATAAATGACCTTGATCATCAAATATTAATGGCTAAGTACCAGCTATCTATCAATCTCAAATTGAATCAGCCAGGCCAGTGTGAAACATGACATGAGTCTGACATGAGTGGCTCAAAGACAGTCCACAGAGAAACACTGAGTCCTCACTTTGGAACTGCTGAGCTCGATCATCCCGCCGGTGGAGCCGTCGCCTGAGCTGTCGTTCTTTTTTCAGGCCCCGTTGGAGAGTGCTCTCCCGAAGCCGCTGGGACACCGACAAAAAAGGGAGCTCTTCCGTTAAGCTCAATGTCACACTCCTGACGTTGAACAAACATTCCTTGGACTGATTCAAGGAAAAAACACGAACAGAACACCACACAAGGTCCAAAAAACACACGGTACCTCCGCCCGTCGTCTTCTCTCTTGGTCAACAAGCTGCTTCCCGTCACTTAGCCTCGGGAATTTGGACCGTCACTCAGCCGCTGAGCTTAGCGCACGTGCACGGCTCCGAGCGGATCATCGCCATCACCGCCCTCTCCGAACTCAAACCTGGGAGCAATGTCCGGTGTCTCCCAAACAGGGCGACAATGGCATCGCATTTCTTGATCAATATCCATCTGTGCCGCGCACTCCATCACCCCCAATGTAAAGAACTGCAGGAAGCGGGAATATACCTATTGCAAATGCTGCGCTATGACTGTGAAGTTGGTGTTGATAAACCAAGCAAGTGCTCAATATGGCTCGAGGGGCACGTTGAAAACATTGCAGCAACAAAGCAACGCTATTAGGCAAGGAAACACCTGGCCGGCCAAGGGTCGAAGAATACATAGACTCCAAAACATAATTTGCCAAAAATGTTGCCCCTACACATCCTCGCAGCATCTTTAGCGGCCGTCCTGCCTGATTGAATGACGCGCCCAGCACAGGCACCATGTTCATCTGACCCATAAAAGCCTTCCGTGAGAGCATAAGTCGTGCTCTTCTGCGGTTGCACTACAACCGTGCAGTTCGTTTGCAAGACTTGAGACAGAAAAGTCATCCTGAAGTTGGCAGTCGACCTGGAAGGTGGTGCCGTTCACGCGAATCAGCAGGAGGAAGTGGTAACACAAAGGTGCCTTAGCAGTGCTTCGCTTGTTGAGACACACAGCCCACTCGACGGCTCAAGGTCGAGACCGCCAAACGGGCCAAGATGGATGCACACCTCAAGCAATGGAAACCGATTTTCTCCAGCAAGGTGCACACCTCATCTCATCTACCAAGAACACTGATGGAACTTTCAGAGCCGCGCCCGCACCACAACTCCCTTTTCCACAAAATAAGGAGATAGAGTCGGCGCCGCTGATTGGTCAAATCCCAGCAACGTGCCCGTGCACTGCGTGTAAACAGTTCCCCACACCATTTGTTTCACTACAGCATGCCCAAACGGTGGGCCCTCGAGTGCCGTTGGGTGGCCTTCGGGGTGAGGACCAACTCACTGCTGGCTTGATTACTTGGTCTTTGACTGACAAAACAGTCTGACCAATCAAAACATAAAGAGGGCTGGGGCCACAAGTGCTTTGGTGAGGACCTGACCACAGTGCACGTTGCGAGAGTATATTATTGATGCAAAAAGTGAGATGAAATGCAAACATACACGTATAAAGCAAGACAAGCAAAGAAATAGGTCTCCACAAAACTTGCAACTGTCCGTGTATCTTTGCAAGTCCAAATGGCGACGTTGAGGGGCCATCTGAACCCCCTCACCTTGAAATCTGCAGCAAGTCATTGCCGCCAAACGAAGCATAGAGAAGTTCTGCCATCTGAGAAACTTGAAAGCTGCAAGGCACAACAAAATCACCGCACCTAGTAGGACCTAGCCTACAGTTCAACATGCAGTTGTACGAGTGACAGTAACACTTCATTGATTGAAATGAGGTCTTTTTCCGCCCTCACCTAGACCAACAACCCAGCGGACGAGCATAGCTCACCGTTTTGGGGAGTTGCCGCCAAAGTGCTGGTTTTTACTTGAGGGCGCCTCAGCCCCGCCTTCGCATGGTGAACTTCAAAACAAATGCGTCCAATTGTGGAGCCAAAGATTTTACTTCGTAGATTCAGCTGTGAAAGGCTTCGTAAAGGCCTCCGCCTGTTCCACTATTTTTGGTGTCGAGTGTCTTGATGCGTTTCAAAGCCTTCCACGATGACACCTTGGTTGATGCACCAAAACTGCTTCCGGCAAAGTCGTTGGCCTGACGCCAGACTTTGTAGACCTGATGACCTGTACATCGAGCGCTGATCGTCTATATAGTGTCATGGATTTGCCCTGCTTACGAAAGGAGAAACCGAGATTCACTCAGCTCACTTGACTTCCTTCACTGCTAAACTTCCCACCGACCTTCCCACCGTGGTATTTTGAGTCCAGGTGTTTCAGCTTGGAAGCAAGTGGCTCATGAAGATTTGTCAGATCATTCGGCAAAATCTATTGCAGGCGGCGGAATTGAAATCCAACTCCAGAGTTCTGCTCACTAAAACAGATTAAACATCATCATCATCATCATCATCATCATCATCATCATCATCATAGTCATCATATATATATATATGTATATATATATATGCATAACAAAATTCAGAAAGGATTCCAACACCGCGTCCTAGGGGCTAGGGCTGAATTGAATTCACTGACAGTGCTGATCTCGCAGCGGTCTGATCGCCAAGAGCATCGATTTGAGGCTTGAAGTGTGGCAGCTCGTCGCGCCCACGCAAGGGAGCAACACTTTCGGCAACGCTTTCGATGCTTCAGGTTGAGCTTGGTTCGGATGATGATGATGAACACATCCAAACACCACAGTGGTCACAAGAAACTCTTTCGCATGAAACCCCTTTCGCATCGCTTGACATCTTCTGCAACCGGAAAAAAATATAAGAGGCGTGGCTTGAAGAAGTTCCGCAGCACTCACCCGCAAACAGGAAGTATCGTTGGTGGCGCAGCAAAACGGGGACCACAACATACCAGAACCGTAACACACCATACTGTTGTCAAAGACCACAATCATAACCTCTGGACTCCAAAAGTTGGAAATGCCTCACATTTCTCCATGTTGAATGCGAGTGGTTGACCTCTACAGTAACTGCCACACCTTCACCAGCTCCACCCCCAGACTCAGTCAGGTGGGAGCTTGGTGCGAGCCACACATCGGTTTCACAACCCTGCATGAAAAACGGCGCATGCACTGCAAGTTTGAGACGATCACTGCGAACATCGTCTTCATTGCGGCTCTACGGGAACCATAGGAACAGCAGGAGGGAACCTCAGATGCAATGTGTTTGCCCTGTTTGGCCTGCAGGCGTTTATTTGTGCTTGCTCTTGTCTATGGAAGTGTCATGCTTGCGTGGTGTCAAATGATTCTGTGGACGAAGAATGGAAACAAGGGCCCCAAGGATACAGGTATTCAGGTATTCTGGTGTCATTCACGAAAAGCCAAAGAAACCTCTCACCATCAACCAGCTGAAACTCCACTCACAAAAAGACCATACCTCCTTTCGTAACTAAGGGCCGAGCTCAGCTGGCTTGCCTAGACAGGATCAGGATGAATGTTGCTACAGTTGTGACCTAAAACAGCGACATACAGCCTTTAATTCACACATGCCGTTTAACAGCTACAGCTAGGCTCCATAAAAGCTGACATGATGTTGTGTGCCTCCTGTGTAGCCTGCCAGCATGGATCCACTCCACACTCCGCAATGCTCCTGCAACAGGGCAAGAAAGAATACAAAAAACTGACGATTGAAAAGATCAAATTCAATGCATTCCAAACGCAGGGATCAGACTTCAGAACAACTGTAGACATTATGTCAAAAAGCTTCGTTCTCTGCAAAAACGTCCGGCTCCGGGCTCTCCCGCAGTCCTTGCAAAAGTCTCTAAGACGGTCGCAAAGACCCTGCAGCTGCATCGCACCTGACAGCGGTGAAAACCCCACCGGTCACGGTGGTCTTTTGCCATGTTTTCACCACCACGCCTAGGTTGTCACGCGTGGCTGCCTTGGCCAGCAAAGACAGACTGCGCACGGCTGCACAAAGGAACCGCACAGGCTGGAATGCTTGGGTCTCTTCGGACTCACAGTGGTGATTTTTCCAGCTGAGGCTTTGTGGTGTCCCACGTAGTAAGTTGCAGATCCGAGCGTCCTTCTCAATTTTCCGCAGCTCTAATTCGGCACTGTGCAGCATCAGCCAAAAATCAGAACACTCCTGGGCCAAGTCTCAGAGTCAAACGTCACAAAGAAAGTCCAGCACTGGAAGAACGGTCATACGAATGATCTCCACGTCCTCAAGAGTCTCGCAGGTCGCATCGAGGTTGAGCAAAGCCAATTCAAGGCACTTCCTGGGAATTGGTGAAGATATCTCAAAGCCAGAAGCTAAATATGCCTCCAACCCAAGCTGCCTAAAAAACAACATGATCTCGGACTGTGAAAGGCCAAGGAGCTCCATGCGCACCTGCGATGAACTTGGCTGGTCAGACCCACTCACTATCTCCAGATTG